TTAAAAAATAAATAAATAAATAAAATAAAAAACAAAAATATCAAGGTGAAATTCTATGCAATAATGATATAAACAAGAGATACGGAGAATAACCACCCTCCAGACAAAAAAGGTACACCAGACAGACTCAAGAATGCATCGAAAGTATTCTTGTATTTTAAAATGAGATTGTCATTAAGAAAATGACATGTCATAAAGTAACAGGAATTACAAGAGGTGACGGCATTCAAGGAAGAATTAAGAGCTACAATAATAAAATCACTTCATGTATGAAAACTACACTACAGAAGAAACACAGGATTAAATAAGCACAACATAATGCCTAAAGAGAAAGAGATATGAAGGTGAAAATTTTCAACTCAAGATAAAGACACTAAAGATCCAATAAAGTGATAAATATTAAACACTAAAATGCTACACTATTAACCATGGATTTATCCAGAAAAAAAAATTGACAAAAGTAAAAATAGGTTAAAAATTAAGTAACATTTACCTAAACATAGAACACTGAATGCCATATTTACTACTGTTCCCTTATAAAAATCTACTAAAGACAGAGGTTAAAAGACTAACTCCTTTAGATTGATCATAAGTAGAAGGCATAGATGGGGCTAGAAAATTTTGGAAGCTGGATCACAAATAAGTGATGTTGATGTGGCAGATGGAGACTGTAACTTAAAGGCCTATAAAAGATGAAACACAGAAATAAGCTGATTCTAAACATAAACCCAAGTAAGGCTGTGATGACAACCCTAAGCTCTTGAGAAGACAGAATACAAGGTGGTAAAACATGAAAAGCTGGTCTTCTCCCAAACAATCAACCACTCATTCTCCAACTCCACAGAAGACTGGCAATACTGAACATGAGATTCTAAACTTCGGCACATCAAGGAGCTTAAGAGCAAAGTTAACCTAATAATACAGTTTTTAAGTAAAATCCATCAGTGAGAAATCCTCAACTGCTCTAAGCAAGAGGTCATTCTGCTCTTAATCTAACAAAAAAAAATGAATTCTGCCAATTAGTCACATCCATAAAAAGATCTTCCAGTTTTTTTTTTTAGTACATTCCTCTTAATAGGAAACTAGACAAATATCATCAAGAGATAAGGAAATTTGAGAAAATTATCAGAGAGCAGAAAACTTTGAAAACCACCATTAAAACCCTCAAATTACTATTTCCCCCCCAATCTTTTATTAACGATCACAAAGTAAAAATCAAAATCAACAGGTAACTATAGTCCAGATATTCTTTGGGAGTGGGGGAAGAAAACTGTTTAAAAAGGGTGAGAAGAGCACAAGGGACTATGGTGCATGGGTAAACTGGTGGTGAGAACTCC